GAATTTTGGGCTAAGGAGGGGTATTTTGGTAATTTGGCTATTTTTGGTGATTTTGGGTAATTTGGTGTTTTCAAAAGGTTTGAAATGGTTTTTTTAACCAATTTTGATATTTTGGGTAAATTTGGGAATTTTAGCCAAATTTGGGGTCCCAAAAGTATCTAGGTAATTTGGCGGAGTTTAGAAGCAAAAGACTAGATTGGGTATCTTGGTAGAGTTGGAGTGCCAACCACCATCAATAAGCCATGGACAAATGGAAACCCCATTTTGGGTTCTCTATGTAGTGGGCTTAGCTAAACCCTAGCCTAGGGCTAGTGGGTTTAGGGGACCACCTACACGAGTCTCCCAAAAGATTGTGAGTGATTGTGAGTGCAAGTATGTATCTTAAGCCCTAGACCAACACCTAGGGTCAACCCTAAGGTCCAACAGTCCTAAGGGTGACTCATCTTGAGTTCCCCCATAATGACCCCACCTACTAAGTGCTGGAGGTGTAGCCTGGTCACTAGGGTCCAACTAATGGTTGTGGAGTCATTAATTTGGTGAATTTGGGGTAGTTAGGCCATCTTTAGTGCATGGGTTCAATGTGGGTTCAAGTGATCAAAGCTTGGGTTTACTTGAGTTTGGGCTAGTCTAGCCATGTCAATTGACCCAATTGATTGATCAACATTGTTTAGATGATTGTTATGATGATTTTTGGTGAATGATTTTTGGTGAAGGGTTTTCAATTGGTGAGTCAATTTGAGGGATTTTTTAAATTTGGTCAATTTGGGCATGTTGGGTTAGAAATTTGATTTGAGGGATTTTTTAAATTTGGTCAATTTGGGCATGTTGGGTTAGAAATGGGTCTAGGTTGAGCTAGCCTTGAGCTAAGTCCAAATTGAATGGTCTACATGATCAAGGGAGATGTTGTGAAGATTTTTCATGAAGACGTAGAGAGGAAATTTTGGGGTTAAGGCCCTCAATTTGGTGAAGTTTGGGGACATGGCTAATTTGGGACAAAATTGGGGATTTTTTGACTTAAGTTGAAATTAAATGAAATTGGGGCTTCACTAAGGCCAATTGAAGGTCAAATTTGATGTGTAAGAATGTTATGAAGATTTTTCAACACAAATTGTGGCAAATGGAGTAGGCCATGGGTTCAATTTGG